AGATCTCTTTTGGATTTCTTCAGCTATTTAAGTACTGTATCCACAGAGGGAACAAGAGGCAAGGCATGCACAGGAAATATTCCTTATGTTCCCAGTCCTAGCAAACATTTATTATCTGACTTTAAAGCAAGTGCATAAGATGTGAGAGGATCTGAGGCAGTGCTCGGCCTCACCTTAGGCAGCTGAGCATTTCTACTTGCTGGCGCTGGCTGCTGGCATGGGCCACAGCTTCCTCCACCCCCACACCTTGGTTTTCTTTGGCCTCGCTGTCAGAAATTCATTTCATGTTCTAAATGCAAATCCTCTAAAGGGTTTTCAGGATGCTAAGTAGGAATTAAGAAACAACAACAAAAAGAAGCAAGATGATTTTTTTTTTTTGTCTTTATTGGAAAAATAACTGGCCTTGAAACCACCGTATTTTTTTCCCTCTCAGGATAGGACAGAAGACTCCTGCCAAGGTTCTGTAGCAGGGCTACACCGCATTTCACATGAGGATTTGTAATTGCCTCTCACAAGGGACTGACAAGCGAGAAATGGGCTCCGGTAAGCAGATGATTGCACAACATCTACATCTGATTTCTTGCATTTGCAGAACATCTATCTACTGTCCTGGGGCTTTCCTGGAAAACTGACTGTAGCAGTTACAGGAGGAAACAGATGGGGACTCTGAGTAGCAGCTCTGTGTCCCCCCCATACCCCCTCCACGGGGGTGCCCTGCACTGACTCTCCCAGCCTGAGGTTGGCATGACGTGAAGGTAGATGCATCCACAAGGATGTTGCGATAATCAAAAGCTGAGCTGGCTTTATAAAGAACCTGGAAAAATCCATGCAAGAAAAATGGGGAGTTGCTAAAGCCCCTCCAGCCTAAGGGACCCCTGAACCGGGGAGCAGCTGGGGAAGGAGCAGCAGCCACTCGCCCTGTCCTTGTGCTCCTGCGCCCAAAGGACCCAACAAGCAGCCAGAGGAGGTGCTTGGTCCCTGTTTTCTCAGGACTCCATTAAGTCATTTCAGTTAACTTCTGATGTGTAAACACAAGAAGGGAAAATTAGGAGGGAAGGAACTCTTTTCTGGGAAGAAATCACCTTTTATTTTTTGTTACAAACTGGGCACGGGCTAAGTGGTAGGGTATATGATTTACTAACAATAGCAATTCATTTCAAAATCATCCATTCGGGTGAAATATAGACAATAATTTTCTTGAAATGAAATGTTTCTAGCAGAAGAGCTGGGGATTAACATTTCATTGAAAGCAAATATTTCTTCTGGCTTGTAATGGCTGATTTCTTCCTTCCACATCATTGTTCTGCCTTTGTTAAAAGGGGAAAATTGACAAAGTTTAGAGAAAAAGTGCTAGTTCGCCACTTCCAGCTGTATCACCTCATACACAGGTGCCTAAAGACTGCTCCCGCAGGAGAAGAGGGACTAAACCTTTCCTTTGGGGAAAACAGATTTGATCCCACTCGGGAATCAGTAAATCAAGACTTGCAGGGGGGAGGCTCGGGGGTCATGAACTGTCCTGGCTCAGCCACGGAGACCTCCTGGGTCTTCTTCTGCAGGAAAAACCTCTGTGAGCTGCCGTTAACACGGTAAAAGCCATAACTGAAGTTTCCCTGAGGAATGCACGGACAGATGGGCTGTTGGAGCAGTGAATGAGGGCACCAGGCAGAGGAACAGGAGTCAGCTCATGCGGAAAGGCCACGGGGACACAAGACAGTGGCTGTCCTGACAGCTGCGTGTTTTCAAAGGCAGAGGAATGTGCTCATTTTTTCCCTTCTCTCCAAATAAAATGTGGGGTTTGTGCCTTTTTTTTTTTTTCCTTCTC